TATATATATAGTCCCTCTTGGGTGTTAACATGTTAACATGCTCAGCTGTTAACTAAAAGTTTGGAGGTTCAAAACCATCCAGAGGCACCTCAAAAGAAAGGCCTGTTCAGGTAGGAGACCCTGGGTGACTTTGGATGCCCTCACATACAGGGAGCAGAGAGTCCTAGGTTCTAGGCCTGCCACCTTTGTTCTCTCCTTCCGGACTCGAGTCCTCCTCCACAAACATGCTCCACCAGATCCTCTGCCAGGCCAAGAAACACCCGAGCTTGATACCTCTCTTTGTATTTATTGGAGCTGGAGGTACCGGAGCAGTGCTGTATGTCATGCGTCTGGCATTGTTTAATCCAGATGTTAGTTGGGACAGAAAGAATAGTCTAGACTCATGGAACAAACTGGGTCCCAATGATCAATACAAATTCTACTCTGTGAATGTGGAGGACAGCAAATTAAAGAAAGAAGGCCCTGACTTCTAAATGAAATCTTTTCCCTTAAAAGCTGTATAGAATGAAGGTCTTCCAGAAGCCATCTGCACAATTTCCCACTTCACCAGGATATCTTTCTTCCCTAAATGCACGGCATCATGTTGATGTATCGTGTTGGGATTTATACTGAATAATAAATGTCTGAAACTTGAAAAACAAACAAAAACACCTATTCAATCTATTTCCAAAAACATCAGTCATTGAAAATCTTACTCTGGCATACCTTGGGTCACCATAACTCAGTCAGCTCAGTGCCAGTTGGCTTCAAACACACACACACACACACACACACACGTACGCAATAGTCACATCATCAGGTGGACTGCAGAGTAGCCATTTATAAAAATAGGACATGGAGGATTTTCCTGTCTGTGCATGATACTATAGGTCACTGCTTTGGGGACAAGTTCTGTTTCTCTCTTTGCAGAAATTTGTACCATGACAATGAAATTTCCCAGTGTTCCTGTAAGTGCCTGGGGTCATTCCACTCCCATTTCTTGTTGGGGAAAATGAACAAACAGGAAGGAGAGAATTGAAATGATGGATTCTGGTCATGCTATAACTTAGAATTTATGACCTCCTGGGTTCTTTCAATAGCAACTCAAGACACTTTTATCAAGTGCCTATTATGTGTCCTAAGGAACTCTGGTAGCATGATAGTTACGAGTTGGGCTGCCAACCTCAAGGTCAGCAGTTTGGACCTACCAGCGGTTCCGTGGGAGAAAGATGAGGTGTTCTGCTCTTGTAAAGATTTACAGCCTCGGAAACCATGTGCAGGGTCACTATGAGTGGGGACCGACTCCACGGTACTTAACAACAACATCAAAGTATGTGTCCTACATTGTGCTTGGCAATGGTTACATAGGAAAGACAGCCCCTGCCTTCAAATCGCACTGGGGACAGCCTATCAGGTTAGGAAATTGAGGAAGCAAAAGTGCCATGACCAAGGCAAGTGCAAGGCATTCTGAGGACACAGGAAGGAGGTTACCTGGGAGGTGGGGGACTGGTTAGAGTGGAGGAACCCATGAGACTTCCTCAGAGCACCTTCACTGGACCAACTTTAGATGAAAATGTGGAGTTTAATTAAATTAAGTGAATATTTGCAGACAGGGCTTCAACAGATAGAAGCACCATTTTGTCCAAAGCAAAGACCCGTGGATTCCAAGCAGAAAGGACACAAGGAAAAGTGAACACCTCATTGGAAGGGGAACTAAAGGAAACTGATGCCAGTTACAGTGCATGAGAATGTGCTGGCTGGAAATAAAGTCCATGCAGGGTCAGGAGAGAACCCATACCCAAGGCTGTGGAAGCTATGATACCCCTTCCACTTCAACATTGACATTGACATCTGCCCCTTGTCATGTAATTGAAATGCCTTATCTTGTCAGACCTCTTATTTCTTCCTAACAAACAAGAAGGTAGGGGTGGACTATCGAGTCTAACTCACTCCTACTACACTCACCCAATATGCAACTGGATCAAATATGAGCTGTTACTGGGCAAGGACGGATTATATTTATAAATAACAACCAAATTCAATGCTTCATTTTCTCTGGTGTGGTATATTCTTTTTATAGACAATATGATATGTAGTAAAAATCTTAGTACCCACATCCACTGAAAATTTTATAATCCAGTTCCTCGCATGCTACTAAAATGGCATACGTCATTTTTGCATTTGATCCTTAACATTGTAGTCTCAGTTATAAAGGAGTTACGTCATGGATAGCTAACACACACAGCTGTATCTATGTAGATGCTTAACTCACATATCCAGCTGGGATGTGTGAGTAAACAGAGGAGCGGGTACCACTGATGACCAGTGATTAGGGCCTTCATATACCTAAATCTAGCCTTGGATGCAGCCATCAGGTTGAAATTCGGAGAGAAAATGATGATGAACTGAATTTTTACATTTCTTTGCTTTGTTTAGGTTTTCTGAATTATGTAGATTCAATTTATACGTGTAGATAAATGACTTTTCTAAGCTTGTCATTAGAGTCCTGATATGGCGCGTGATCAGCAGTTCAAGTTCAACAGTCACTCCTTGAAAAACCCTATACAGGGTCACTATGAGTCGGAGCTGACTAGACTGCACTTAACAACAACAACCTTGCCATCGTTCTGGTTAGCACATAATCAAACTAAGTAAGAACCATAGTCTAACCTTTATCCACAACAGTTATTATTTGTCAAAGACAAGTTGTTAACAAATTATCAGCAGGCAAGTGAATATTACAGAGTAACATGAAATAACTTGTTTCATATCTCTATTTTAATTTTTAAAAAGCAAATGATCAGTGATAAGAGTATTTGGGTGGTACAAACAGAAATGAGCTCAGCTGCTACTAAAAATGTCAAGATTTAAGTTCACCCAGAGATAATCAACTTCTGAAATCAGCCATTAAAAACCCCAGTTCCACTGTTCCACTCGATGGCACAGTTCCACTCCATGACAACTGTTTCAGTTATTAGGAAACTCCTCCAGGCTTATAAATCCTCTCCCATGGGCAACAATAGCCTCCCTCTATTTTTTTTTTACTGCTCAAAATTTAGGTGGTCCAAGAGGACAGGGAGGTCTCAGCTTATAGGGCCTTGAGAACCTTCCAGTTGAAGCCAGCTTTCTCAGCTTCTTGAAGGAGGTGGACTTACCAGATTCCTAAGAGAAATCTTGACTGGTCAGTCTCCTCTTTTGGCTGCTGTAGCAATTACCTTTGTTGTAAAGGATAGTGATGGGGGCTGGAAGAAGGGACTGACTTTAGGAAACTTCTTTGACTGAGGTGCCATCCATAGGCTCGGCTCTGCTTCATTTTCTGTAAGTGTTCTCTAGGGCTTCAGGGGACTCATCCACAAATAAATGAGGACATTTGGTCCTGAGGACTTCTAGATCCAAGTTATATATCAAATAAGCTCACTTATCGATGTTAAATGAAAGTGAAAAAAGCAGCCTACACAAAACTAATCATATTTTTTTTTCCCTCTTTCTTTTTTTTAAGGTGAACACACACAAGAAACCAATTCACCTCATTCACTCAAAAAGGATGTAGAAAATATGGGGAAAGGTAAAGAAAAGTTTTAATTCTGTAAAAACTCCCTTAGTTTTAAAAGATTATGGAGATAATAGGAGGATATTTTTGTTCTGCACCATATTTTAAGCTTGACAAGCAACATATGAATAATATATGGACCATTGGGTGGATATAATTGAGATAAATGCATACATATCAATCAATACAGGACACGGTAATATAATACTTTAAAATAATATATTACATTGATTTATATTCATGGATTTTTTTGCACAAAATCTATCCTATGTCTATGCAAGACTTTTTAAACTGGTTAAAATATTTTGTCTTATAATAATAAATTGCCATATATAACAGTTCTCTGGAGAGTTATTTATAAAGATTAGTAAAACGACTCCTCTGTTTTTTCTTTATTAGAGGAACTTCAGAAGGTTTTATTTGAACAAATCGATTTACGGAGACGACTAGAACAAGAATTCCAGGTGTTGAAAGGAAACACGTCTTTCCCAGTATTCAGTAAGAAATCACTTCTGTTTCATTATGTTTGAGATACTTGATTAGATTTCTATTACTAGGCTTAAGAATATGATTCTAACCACTAAGTGGCTATGCAAAGTTTCTCATGGTCTTCCCTCATCTCTATCTAAATCTTTAAAACTTTTATTCCTTCGGTGGTGCTGATGGATAAGCACTGGATTGCTTGCCGCAAGGTTGGTGCTTCAAACTGACCAGCTGCTCCTCAGAAACCTTATACAACAATATTTTGCTTTGAATCAGCTCACAAACAAAATTTCTTAAAAGAACCTTTTTGTATTGATTTTTTGTGTGTTTGTGTATATGTGTTGTGTGTTTAAAATTGTGTAACTATGCAATTGAATATATTAGATATATTTAGTTTATATGTATTTAAAACTGAGGAATTGTTCAAGTGTTTTTATTGGGTAAATGTGCTGTACCGCAAAATGAGTTTAAATCGCAAGGTTGGTGGTTCAAGCTCACCAGCTGCTCTTTGAAAACCCTATACAGGGTCACTATGAATCAGAACCGACTCCACGGCACACCACCACCACCACCACCAAGGTAGAAAAACAAAAGAACAATTCACTTTTATTCTCAGACGGTGCTAAATAGCTGCCTGACACTTGAGATATTTTAAGTTTTCATAATTCGCTATACAGAGATCTGTTAAGTTCATTGAAATGGTGTCATTTTGTTAGGTTTTTTTTTTTCCTTCCCTATCCATATTCAATGTTAAAGTATCATTTCACATTTGCGGGTAGGAGGTAGTATGGTCTAAAATCTGTTCATTCTACTCACAAAGTTTTGGAATTTCAGAAAGAATTTGTGTTAAATATCCAGATTTCTAGAGCTGTGGTGACTCAGTAGTTAAGTACTCAGCCTGAAAGGTCAGCAGTTTGAACCCACCAGATGCTCCATGGGAGAAAGATAAAGCTGTCTGCTTATCTAAAGGTTTGCAGCTTTAGAACCCCTGGGGGGCGGTTCTACTCTCTTCTCTAGGGTCACTCTGAGTCAGAGTTCTAAAATGCAGTGCTCTGCTCCGGGTCACATGGGACAAATACATCACAGAGGTGATTTTCCAAGTTTTTGGAGTTTTATTTAGTTATAGTCCTCTGTCCAGGGGTCAAAAATGAGGGAAAGAAAGTGGTATGTAAGCTTATCATATAAATTATGCATCTTTAAAATTAAGGACCCCTGGTAGAGTACTGTGTTATACATTGGGCTGCTAACCACAAGGTCAGCAGTTCCAATCCAGCTGTTCCATAGGAGGAAGAGGAAGGTGGCTTTCTGCTCCCATAAAGATTTACAGCCTCAGAAACCTTATACAGAGTCACTTTGAGTCAGAACCAACTCCACAGCATGAAACGGCAGCAGCATATTTAAAATGAAAATTTTTTTCTTGGAACACTATCTTAGAATGTCAGCATGCCCCTGGTTATTAATCTGTAAAACTCAGGTTGGCCACTCCTATACCAGAGTCCCAGGCCAGCATCTGGGAGATTGTGCAATGATTGTGATATTTTTAATAACATGGACAGGATGTCTCATGTGCAATGATTGTGATATTTTTAATAACATGGACAGGATGTCTCAAATGTAATTTGAAGCACAAGTGAATGGCACCCCCACCCCCTTGGATAGTATTTCTTTTAGCACAAGATTCCTGGTCGTGTGTCAAACTGAGTTCCACCAGAACACTTAGCCAGAGTCAGAACAAAGAGATAGCTGCATGATGGGAGAGGATCTGGCCACAAGGAACAATAGAGCCTGTGAAGTTCAATAGGGAGCCTTGGAACTCACCATGCTTTTGGATTTTGAATTCAGAGAATATCTACTGAAACTTAAAATAAGATGGAAGGGGGGAGACTGGCCAGTAGCTTTTGATAATACATTAGGAATATCACAGCAAATGTAGTTTTGAGAAGAGAAGCAACATCACAAGTAAAATGGGTGTTTCTAAAGGATCCAGGATTTTCCCATTTCTAAAATTGTCTCTTAAGAAAGACTGCACAATCCCCAGTAGCTCCAAGCAGAAAATATCTAACAGTGTGTTTCCCCATAACCAAATGTTTATCAAATTGTTGAGTTTGCAAATCCCCACTTTAGACTTAGAAGAGCGAGCTGAGTTGCTTCGAGTCTGTAGAGTGCACACCTAACTCCCCTTGAAATCAGTGTCACCAAAATGATGATGATGTTGTTAAGTGCTGTCCAGTCAATGACCCTGTATAGGGTTTCTAAGGAGCAGCTGGTGAGCTTGAACCACCTTGTGGTTGACCTTGTGGTTCAAACCAACTTTGCAGTCCAGCACATTAATCCACAGTGCCACTAATACACTTGTCTTTATTCCCCTTGAGTCTGCGGGGACTCCTGGTGACTTTATATATAATGTCATGAAATGTTACCAGGCCTGAGCTGTCTTCACAGTCATTGGCTCTGACGTAATAGCGTCAGTCCAGCTCAGGGAGTACTGCCCTCTTTTCAGCTGACCAAATATCAGGTCCTTTTCTAGCGATTGGTCTCTCTTGTCAGAGTCTAAAGTAAGGGAACCAGAGTCTCTTGAACCTCACTTGTAAGAAGAATTCTGGTTATATTCCTTCTAAGATGAATTTGTCTGTCTTTCTGGAAGTCCATGGTGTAGCCAAGACTCTTCACCATTCATTCCCACAATATGAAAGAAGCCCTGATAGCATAATGGGTCACAAGTTTGGCTGCAAACTGCACAGTCAGCAGTTCGAATCTACCAGCCCTACTCATTAGGAGAAAGACGATGCTTTCTGCTCCCATAAAAATCTACAGCCTCAGAAGTCCTATACTGGGTCACTGTGAGTCGGAACCAACTCAACAGTGCACCACTGCTGCCACCACTGCCACAATTTGAATGCATCAATTTTTCTTTTGTCATGCTTATTCGTTGTCTACCTTTTACATGCCCATGAGGTGATTGAAAAGACTGTGGTTCCTAAAAGCAAAATGCATAGTTGGTTTTCATGAAGTAAGTTGTTGTTGTCAGGTGCCATCGAGTCGGAACCGACTCATAGTGACCCCATGCACAGCAGAACGAAACAATGTCCGATCCTGGGCCAACCTCACTACCGCCGCCACACTTGACACCATCAATGATGCCACCTGACCGATCCATCTCGTTGGGGGTCTTCCTCTTTTTCTCTGATCCTCCACCTTACCCAGCATGACATCCTTCTCCAGCGACTGTTCTCTCTGGACAATGTGTCCAAAGTAGGAGAGACAAAGCCTAGCCATCTTGGCCTCCAAGGAGCACTCTGGTTGCACTTCTTCCAAAACAGATCTATTGGTTCTTTTGGCAGTCCATGGCACTTTCAGTATTCTCCTCCAACACCACAACTCAAAGGCATCAATTCTTCTACGGTCTTCCTTATTCACTGTCCAGCTTTCGCATCCATATGAGGTTATTGAAAATACCATGGCTTGGGTCCGGTGGCCCTTTGTTCTTCAGCTAACATCTCTGCTCTTCAGTACTTTAAAAAGTTCCTGTGCAGCAGATTTGCCCAATGCAATACGTCGTCTGATCTCTTGACTGCTGCTTCCGCGAGTGTTGATAGTTGATCCAAGAAGAATGAAGTCCTTGACAACCTCAATCTAATTGATAGCAATTCATGTATTTTCTTTGTTAATTGCTCCATCATACCATGTGCACAGCATGATTCTATTGAAAACAAGCAGAAAATGTTAGAATGTTATCATACGACGGGCCAGTTTTAGTTCAGACCTATCATTTATCCTTTTAATCTGAATTAAAATGAATCCTCTGTCGTTGCCACATGCATGCAATGCTTCAATTGAATAACAACAATACAGATTTCCTTCTTTATCTGCACTCTCCTCTGCTGACCAGGAAGTGGCAGGTGTGTACCCAAGTTTGAATAATGCGTGGTCTAGATACACCACAAAGAAGCAGTCAATTTCAGTCTGATGAAAATAGTAAATGCACATTACCTGTTTGTTAACTAAATGCAAGGGTCCAAGAGGCTCCCAGACAGATTTAGATTCACTCAGATGGAAAGGGGAAAACCGAATTTTGTGAAGCCACATCAGAAGGAAACATAGAAGAATCCCCTTAGAGTTTCACAAAGCTTTTGCTAGGAGGTGGACAGATTAGCAGTGACGACACTCAAAATCAAGCTTGCTTAGAGAACTAGTGGCCAAGGCTAGAAGCACTGATATGTGACAGTTAAGAAACCAGGCTCAGAAATTGACCAGACCTGAGTTCACTTTGGGACTCAGCCTCTGCCTGCGTGTGGGACCGTGGAAAGAGTACAATGAGGTAGATGATTCTGGTCTCACAGGAGGATGTGAAGACTGAATGAGGTGTTCCTGTATCACATGCTGGTACATACCTAGCACAGAACACATGCTCCTTAAATGTCGGCTGCAAGGATGATGTGACAAGGAGCAGCAAGGGGCAAAGGTGGTTAGTGTTGATCTCTAGAAGCGCATTTCTAAAATTGGCTCCACATTTCTGCATTGTCTTGGGCTTCTTGTTGTGGTTCTGAGGGTTGATGAGGACCACGGGAATGAATCCTGGGCCTGGAGGAAAACGAGACAGTTGTCATCAAGTCAATTCTGACTCCTGGCAACTCCATGTATTTCAGAGTAGAGAGGATCTCCATAGGGTTTTCAAGGCTGTGACCTTTCAGAAGTAGATTTTACCAGGCCTTTCTTTTGAGGTGCCTCTGGGCAGGTCAGAAACTGCCAACCTTTTGCTAGTAGCACAGTGCTTAACCATGTGCACCACCCAGAGACTCCATGGAGAGGTTTGGTGTTGTTAATTGCCTTTGAATCCATTCCAAGCCACGGCAACCCCGAGTGTTGAGCACTGTGCACCGTGAACTGTGCAAGGCTGTGATCTTTCAGAAGCCGATCACTAGGCTTTACTTCTAAGGTGCCTCTGGGTGAGCTTGAACCCCAAACATTTAGGTTAGGAGTTCAAGGACTCCATGGAGAAGGTAAGGATAAAGATT